TACTTTTGCGCAGGGGTAGCGTATCGGGCTACCTATTTTGGTCAACAAACTCAATGATTAGAAGCATCTTGATCCAACACAGCGGTTTCATAGTTTGATAGCTTGATAAGACATCTTTTACCACGCATTTCACGCGTTAGATCAGAATAACAGATACGGACGGCCAGCAGTATTCATTTTCAATCTGGATGGACAATATTCGCCAGAACTTTGCGGGTCTGTATCCGATGCAATGACTACCTACTGACCAAATTGTCAAAGCTCTTTATCGAGAAAGCTTGGTCGTATAAAAAATTGCTGATGGAAGCAAGATTGGCCATCTTGCTCAGATGGTCCATAAAAATCGCAATGCCGGTATTACCGGACACAACTTTCGAAAGACCAAGAATGAAGCCCATACTGCTAAACCTGTCTCCCAAAGCCGTCATCAATATGACATATATTGCGTCTGGCCCGGGCGCCGTATGTACCGCCTCAATATTTCGGTGCCGTCATCATTGTCGCATGCGACAATTCATTGCGGGGGTGACGATAACGCAACTGCTCCAACATTGACAGCGACTCAACTTTACCTTAGCCCTCCGCGAAGAAGGTTATTCGTCATGCCATTATCTGTGAAAGATGAGGTGATGACATCGTTGTGCGTAACGACACATCATCTATATAGATCGCAAACGGCTTTGAGCTTGGCAGATCCACTTGAACTTGACGAGGGCAAGGAAGTTCTTGTCGGCAGCGTTCAACCGGCGAGATTCAAACGCGGCCACGCGCGAATGAACATTGCGTCTGCTTGGGGCAAACCGCAGCCAACGGCGAAGGCTGAAGCGCCACACACAACGTGGAATGGCCGAACTAGGTTCAAATATCGGGATGCGCATGAGGCACCCTTTACAGCATCAAAACCCGCATCTTCCACCGCACCTCAATTTTATTTGACATTTTCACAAATACGTAAGTGCGGGGGTCGTCGTAGTTTGCACTGAACTAGCGCAAGAAGATAGCCAGGTCAACTCATGTCCGCAAGTTTTTTAGGATAGAGACACTGGCCAATTTCTAGTTGCCTTATCTTCGCGGGATCTGTCCTCAGGTCCTGCTTCTTGGTGAAGCAACTCACAAAGGGAATTTCGTCGGCGCCAAAGATATTATTGGCATTGGTGTTTCATGTGCAAACCCTCGACCGCTACAATAGCGTTGTAGCGGTTCGTCGCTGGTAATGCAGTCCAGATCGGCTAATGCTTAACATACGCCAAACCGTTCGCACAGCCTGTAAAGTTGGACATCGAACAAAATCTGCTGCGGAAGGTCTCGAAGTTGTCTTGCAGTGCGTGCTACAACCAACTCCACAAGCCATCGTGAAAAGGCTCGTACTCCCCAACACAGTACAAGTATATGTTCAGCATCAGAGCGTCTGTGTTGCACTCAAGTAAATGCAAGGATTCATCGGAGAAGCTGTAGTCAGCTTACTACAGTCGTCTTCTTCCGATGATCAGAGAAACGCGGCTGTCATTTTCGTGCATCATGAGCGTATAGAATCTCGAAAGCATACGCAATCCCCTGTTTTGCCTTTAGAAAAATGCATAAGACAAATGGGGGACCATCTCATCTGTCAGCACTTCAGTTTGAGGTACTGATGAACCGAGACGTACTCCAACTTCCTCAATGTTGCTCGGACAAGGCCAAGAGTATGGCTTGGGCAATGATGCGTGGCGTGCTTATCAGTCGCGTCGTCAAACCAAAATCAAATGTCGGTGAAGAGACCGCTCGAAGTGTTACCGGACATAAGAGAGCGCAAGTCACAATATTCCCTCGACACACATCACACAACACACGCGCTTGTACGGCATAGAAGCGATTTCCGACGTGGAGGGGAGATAGGACTTGAAGGAAGAAGAACGGCATGATAGTTCGAAAGCAAATTTGCAAAGTAATTCAATTTATTACTGGTTTCTGGATCTATATGCAAAATACCCCACGGGTCCTAGTTGTCATTCATGGATTCCAAAAAAACGATCCATACAATCAAACGTGTACTGAGGCAGAACCCCAGTTGGAACATATACAAATTCTTGATTATACGCAGGTAAAAGACTGAAAATTTACACTTGAATTTTTGTTGAAAGATTCCCGCAGAAGTGACTGGCTTACGCCTTTCACTTCGAACGACAGAGATACGCTGGCCTCGTCACCAGTGCAAATCTCAGGTTTTAATCAGCATTCTGCGTCACACAAAAAGTTTATTAAAGATGTATGGGGTCACCATGCTGTAATTTTTATATGTATATGTTATAATGAACGCAGTAGGTACGATATGTACCTTCATGTAATGGCAAGTGGCATTTTTGACAGTATCACAAGCAAGAGGTTAATCACACCAGTATTCTTAGCACAGGGGGAGCATTTAGGGGCACGTATTGGGTCGTGAATGCAAAGTGGATGAGTCTATGTTCGACAAATGGTATTTTTGATAATATAACAAGCAAGAGGATAACTACACCAGTTTTCCAAGCACGGGGTAGGGCATATAGGATCAAATATTGCGTCGTGAAAACAAATTGGATGCTGGGAGTCCACTCCAGCATTGCTGTCCCTATGCGCAAGATCTCCAAAAGTTATCCTACAGCACAAAACTATGCGTTTCGTCGGACGATATTTTTATAGATGGCTACAACAATCTGTTATTAAGAATTCAAGCCTCGTTTGCCAAAACTTCTTAATAAAAAGGATCCCAATTAAAAATTCGTCCAGCAAGCTATCTCAGCGAAAATCTTGCTGAAGAACAGATTATAAGCACCTTCACGGGCAGCGATATCGTTAACAGCAGCGAGCTGTTAAAGTCCATAATGCGAAATAATTG